GAACCGCGGGGCACGGGGGACCCCAGCAGTCAGGCGTGGGGAGGACCAACATGAACCGCGGGGCACGGGGGACCCAACGGTCAGGCGTGGGGAGGACCAACATGAACCGCGGGGCACGGGGGACCCAACGGTCAGGCGTGGGGAGGACCAATGCGCCCCGCGGGGCACGGGGGACAGGGGACGCCAGCAGTCAGGCGTGGGGAGGACCAACAGGAACCGCGGGGCACGGGGGACCCAACGGTCAGGCGTGGGGAGACCTATGCGCGCCGCGGGGCCGAAGACTCCGGGGCTTGCCCTTCAGCTCCGGCCGCACCCCTGACGCGGTCATCCCATCTGTCGTCCGGAGCTGCTGAGGGCGTCTGGGCTTCCGGACCCCCTGAGCCTAAGCCGGCGGGACAGCCCCTCGGGGTGTGGTCCCCTACCGCGTCCGCCCGCGGGAACCTTCCCCTCAGCCGCGATTCAGGTCAGCTCCAGCGAAGGCCGGCGCCACACGCCTAAGCAGACCCCTGCGCCTGCGCGGTCCCAGCACCTACGCAGACCCCGGCGCCTGCGTGGACTCGGTCTGGGCATATCTCCGCGCTTGCGCAGAGCCGGCGCGTGGTCGCCCGCCAACGGGGGCGGGCCCAGAGTCGGCAGTCCATCGTTCGATCCCCTTCATTGGCTGAGAAATGAAGAGGTGGCCGGGCCCACCGCTGATTGGGCGGCGTGCGAAACAGAGGGGCCCTGCGAGCCAATCGCAGGGCAGGTGAGGTACGAGCCGGGCCTTGGTGGCGGCTGAGGGCTGCGTTCGCCGTTTCAGGGCTATGGCTCCCGAGAAGCCGCTGGTGGCGGTGACCTGCACCGCGCCGGTCAACATCGCGGTCATCAAGTACTGTGAGTGCGCGGCCGGGGGCGCCGAACACGGCCCACGCGGGACGTCTACCCCCGCGGGGGCGAGATGGTTGGCGACAGTGTCCACGAGGGACGCTCAGCCCTGCGGGGGCGGGACGGGGTTGGCGACAGTGTCCACGAGGGACGCTCAGCCCTGCGGGGGCGGGACGGGGGGGTGACAGTGTCCACGGGACGGCCAGCCCCTCAGGGGACGGTGACAGTGTCCAGCACGGGGGCTGGGCTCCCTCGGTCTCCCGCAGCTGGCCAGCTGGGGGCCGCTCCCCATGTCTATCATGCTCTCACCTGAAGATCGCTGTTAGCGGAATCACAGCATATGTAGCTTTGGGGAGTGGCTCTTGTCACGGTGGTTCTGGAGACTTGTGCAGGCGACTGCTCACATTACTGGCCTGTTTCAGGCTGAGTCCTGTTTGCTGGTGGGGACGTCCCACACGTTCCTTAGCAGCTGGGTTGTTTCCAGGTTGAGCTTTATTGTGAATCAAGCTGCTGCAAAACTGTGTACCAGGGCTTGTGTGAATACCAAGTTGTCATTCTCTGGGGACCAATGTCCAGGAATGCCTCTGCTGGGCCATAGGGTAGTTGTACTTTAGTTTTTTATTTTTTTAAAAAAAATTTAAAGATCTTATTTATTTGAGAGAGAGTGCACGTGCACAAGTTGCGGGGAGGAGCAGAGGAAGAGGAAGAAGCAGGCTCCCTGCTGAGCAGGGAGCCCCACTCTGGCTCGATCCCAGGTCTCTGGGATCATGACCTGAGCCAAAGGCAGGCGCTTCACCGACTGAGCCACCCAGATGCCCCTGCTTCTCCCTCTCCCTCTGCCATTTCCCCACTTGTGCTCTCTGATTCTCTCTCTCTGTCAAATAAATAAATAAAATCTTAAAAAAAAGTAAAATGAAGAAAAACTTCCCACCCCACTTTGCATTCCCACCAGCAATGTCCGTGTGGTCCAGCTCTTCAGCCTGTGGTGGTGGTGTCCGTTTTTATTTGAGCTGTTCTCATCGGTGGGGTGACATCTGGTTGTGGGTTTTGGGCTAGGGATACCGAACACCTGCTCTCCCGCTTACCTGTAACCTGCATGTCCTCATGTCCATGTTCTGCTTGGACCATGCACTTTCTTACCGTGGAGTTTTGAGAGTTTGCGATATATTCTACTAATCCTTTGTTGGACATGGGGTTTGCCAATATTTTCTCCCACTCCGTGGCTTGTCTTCTCATCCTTCTAACAGGGTCTTTCAAAGAGCCAAAGTTGTTAAAGTTTTGGGGAACTCCAGTGTGTCAGTTTTTCCACGAGTGGGTCATGCTTTTGGTGTCAAGTCAGACGCATTTGCCTGGTCCTACAGCCTAAAGGTTTTCTCCCGTGTGTTTTTCTAAAGGTTTTGTAGTTTTATGTTTTAAATTTAAGTCCCCACCTTGAATTGTTTCTCTGTGTAAGGCACGGGAGTCAGGTTGCAGTTTCGTCTGGCCTCTGGATGTCCCGTTATCGGGGCAGCATTTGCTGAGAAGTCCGTTCCTCTCATTTGCATTGCTTCTGCACTCTTGTCATAGATGAGCTGGGCGTGTTTGTGCCGGTCCGTGTCTGTGCCGTCATGGGTCACCTGCCAGGCGGTAGTCATTACCACCCCCTGTAACTGTCCACCCTCCCAGCACCGCACACAAAGCGCAGTGTGCTGTGACTGCTTCACCGAGAGGTCCGCCACGTCCCCCTCCACGAAGGTTTCCTTTGTTGCTGGTGTGCGGGCAGTGGGGGCGGTCCCGCGTGTCTCCAGGGCGTGAGAGCAGAGAGCTTGGAGGCGTTTTCTGTAACCAGGGCTCCTCCTGTGTGGGAGGCAAGAACCTTACCATCAGAGTGCTCAGGGCCTGGAAGGCACTCCAAGGTAATTCGTTGAACAGATGAAACAAGATTAAACAGAAGCACTGAAGCAGGGGGATGGGCTGGCCTCCAGCTCCGCTCTGGGAGCCCAGTGAAGTGGGGAGCAATCCAGGAGGACTTCCTGAAGGTGAGGGCACAGCAGGAAGAGGACGTATCCGGTGCAGAGAGCAGGCTCCCGGCAGATGGGGGAGCAATGGGATGGGAGTGAGGGTAACTGGGGAGCACTGGTGGGGAGGAGTGAGGGCAACAGCGTGCTGGTTTGCAGGGCTGGGAAATGGACTGGCCTTGCCTTGGGTTGTTTGTTCCAGGGGGAAAGCGAGATGAGGACCTGATCCTACCCATCAATTCCTCTCTGAGTGTCACCTTGCACCAGGACCAGGTTAGTATGGGTCGGCACTAAACACCAAAGCAAATATCTACCACACTTCTTTTGTTGAACTTTTTTGTGACAATTGGATTGGTAGCAATAACTCCTTAGCCAGTGACTGTCACACACACACACACACACACACACACACCCCATTAGGACTGTTCTTCACATGCTCTCCCATGCTCCCTGGTCTCCTCTGGAGGTCCGCATCCCTTCCTCCTGGAGCCATGCCCAGTGGCTCTGCTGTGGGCCATGAAAGTGTGGGCTGCACGCTGCGTGCTGGAGACCAAGCCTGGCACCGAGCCTGCTGCGTGGCTTGGGGCCTTCCTCACTGCCCGGCCTGGCCTGCTGGGCCTCAGCAGCCCTGTTCTCCAGTAAGGCCGTCCCTGCCCCTGAGTGGGGCATAGGAAGGCCCTCCCCAGTAGAGGGGGCTGTTTAGCGGGCACCCGCCCCTGAGGTGGCCTGTGTTTTCTTTCCCAGTTGAAAACCACCACCACAGCTGCCATTAGCAAGGACTTCACCGAGGACCGAATTTGGCTGAATGGCCGGGAGGAGGACGTGGGGCAGCCCCGCCTCCAGGCCTGCCTAAGGGAGAGTGAGTGGGGTCCCGAGAGGGACGCGTGCAGTGCTGGGGCCAGGCCAAGCTGGTTCCTTACTCCACTGTCCCTTCTTCACTCTGGGTTGGGTCTGAGTGCACAGAAGGTGCCGCTGCCTCTTGGCTCCCCTGACTTCCCACCGCAGCCCGGCCCCTTTTGGGGGTGGGAGGGGGATGCCTGTTAGCATAGCCGGAGTCGGGTGTGGGTCTGGCACTGGGGTCTGGGGCTTTACCCTGAGCAGGAGGCCTGCACCAAGTCTGGGCAGAGGCCCGGCTTCAGCGGTGCCGCTGCTTCTTCCTGACTCATGGCAGGTGCGTTGCCAGGAGCAGGTTGGGGCCGCTCTGCCCAGTGACCGTCTCCCCTGTCCCTTCAGTCCGCCGCCTGGCCCGGAAGCGGAGGAGCGCCGGTGATGAGGACCCACTGCCCCTCAGCCTCAGCTACAAGGTTCACATCGCATCAGTGAACAACTTCCCCACAGCCGCGGGCCTGGCCTCCTCAGCGGCAGGTTATGCCTGCCTAGGTGGGTGCCCACAGGAGACCCAGGGCCCCTAGGGTGCTGTGCTGTGGCAGGCGGCACTTCACACGCTCACAGCCTGCAGGGACCTGAGTGCTAAAATCTTCCCCGGGGTCTGTGTGTAGAATCCTCTAGGTTGTATGTGTCAGAAACCCATCTCGAACTTGCTTAAGCCTAAGATAGGGCCAATTTCTTGGCTTAACTGGCTCCAGGTGCATCTGGCTCCAGGTGCTCCGACAGGCTCATTGGGAACCTGTCTCCCTCCCTCCAGACCCCTGCTCCGCTTTCCTCTGTGCTGGCTCACTCTCCAGTAGGCCCCCCCACCTGGGGCAAAGCTGGGTACCACAGTGAAAGGCGGTGGGCTCACCGTGTGTGGCCTAGCAGAAACCCCAGGGGTGATACTTACTTGCTCAGCCAGTTCATGTGCCCATGCTCAAGCCGCCCTCGATGACTGGCAAGGGCAGGAGGACACACAGTGGTGGGGACAGAGAGCTTGCCTTGTGGGCTCCCAGCTCTGTATCCTGGCCATAGACCCTTGGCCAGACCCAGCCCTGCTCCCTGACGCCCAGCACTACCAGCTGCCATGCTCATGCCCGCTTTTCAGGCCTCTCTGCTCTGGTCTCTGCTCCACATGGCTTTTCAAAGTCTTCATCCCTACCCCACCCATCTGAGCCCCCTCTGCCCTTCACCCTGTGCCTGCAGCATATGCCCTGGCCCGGGTCTACGGGGTTGAGAGTGACCTCTCGGAAGTGGCTCGCCGGGGCTCAGGCAGCGCCTGCCGGAGCCTGTATGGTGGCTTTGTGGAGTGGCAGATGGGGGAGCGGGCCGATGGGAAGGACAGCATAGCCCGGCAGGTGGCCCCGGAGTCACACTGGCCTGAGCTCCGAGTCCTCATACTTGTGGTGAGTGAGGCTGGGAGGGGGCGGTTCCTCCTGGCCTGTGGGCTCCCCAGGTGGTAGAGGCACCTGGATAAGCTTTGAGTGACTCCCCGCAGCAAAGGGGCTACTGTTCCCAGGCCTGCCCTGTCTGCCCAGGGAGGCGACCTCTGTGGTTGGGGAGGGATGGGACAGGATGGATGTTTCAGGCTGGGGGCTGCAGGGTGGGGTCCAGGATATTTCTCTTGGTGCAGGTGAGCACAGAGAAGAAGCTGATGGGCAGCACCGCAGGCATGCAGACCAGCGTGGAGACCAGCTCCCTGCTCAGGGTAAGGCTGGTGGCGGGATGGGTGAGCGGCAGCCCAGGACACGTCCTGCACATTGCAACACACAGCAGGCTCCACCTGCATCCTTCAAAGCCAGGCTGCTCTGCTCGGCTCAGCCCCCCAGCAGAGCCCCTGGCCGCCCTGCAGGGCCAGGGCTCTGAACGGGGGAACGGCCGCATCTCACGGGAATGTGCCTTGCAGTTCCGGGCTGAATCGGTGGTGCCAGCACGTATGGCAGAGATGACCCGCTGTGTCCAGGAGCGGGACTTCCAGGGTTTCGGCCAGCTGACCATGAAGGACAGCAACCAGTTCCACGCCACCTGCCTGGACACCTTCCCACCCATCTCTTACCTCAGCGACACCTCCAGGCGCATTGTCCAGCTGGTGCACTGCTTCAACGCCCACCACGGGCAGACCAAGGCAAGGCCGGGGGCGGGGGGGGGCAGGTGGGGGCTGACGCCATTCTGCCGGCTCCCCAGACTTGCGGCGTGTTCCCTGGGACAGCCCTCGGGCCCAGAGCTGCCAGAGAGCCCGGCTGCGGTCCAGCACAAGCCGGCCGAGACAGGGCTTCTCGGCTCGCGCTGTCCCCTGCTGTCTGCAGGCGCTTTGTGTTTTGGCCGGTTCAGGGGTGTGTGGCCCACACGTGAAGACGCTGGTCCTGAGCTGGTGGGCAGAGGTGCCGCGGCTCCACGGCAGGCAGCTCGCCTGGGCCCGGCTCAGCCGTGGGCAGCCGTGGGTCTCCGTGTGAGCCGGGCCGGCCACTCTGCAGACACTCAGCACTGACTACGTGGGTTCCAGGTGGCATACACATTTGACGCGGGCCCCAATGCCGTGGTCTTCACCCTGGAGGACACTGCGCCTGAGTTCGTGGCTGCCGTGAGACAGTGCTTCCCCCCCGAGTCGAACGGAGACAAGTGAGTTGGGGGTCTCCCACATTTGGGAGGCGTGGAGGGAGGAGCAGGGTCTCCTGCTGAGATCTGGGACAGTGGCCCCCGAGGCCGTGGTGCTGAATGGGGCCCCATGGGAGTTTCAGTCTCTGCAGGGACCCCAAGCAGTGTGCCACCAAGGGTGCCTCCCTGTGACCATCACGTGTCACAGCCCGGTGGCCTCACGTGCAGGTGCATGAAGCGTAATGGCTCCTGGGGGCGGTGCCCGTGGCTTCGCGGTGACGGCTGGGCCTTTGGACTTCTCTTTTCCAGTCGTTTTCCGCGCAGGGACACCTCCCTGCTAGGGGTGCAGGGAGTATGTGGGGTCGGTTTATGTGTCACCGTCCTCGGGGCGACACTGACTTGTAGTGGGTGGGGCTAGAAGGCTGACTTCCTCACCGTGGACAGACCCCATGACCAAGGACGGCCCCCAAAGCAGCTGGTGTCCTTGTGGGAGACTCTGAACTCATTGCTCTCGTCACCCCGTGGGCGGTTTGCAGGCTTTCACGTTCTGGGGAGCATGTCCATGGACTGACACTCGGACTGAGGTGTTGCCTTCGTCTTCTTTTTTTTCAAAGACGTTATTTATTTGAGAGAGGGAGAGAGCATGAGTGGGGGGGGAGAGCAGAGGGAGAGGGAGAAGCAGGATCCCCACTGAGCAGGGGGCCCGACATGGGCTCGATCCCAGGACCCTGAGATCATGGCCTGAACCGAAACCAAGACTTGGTTGCTCAAACGCCTGAACCACACAGGCGCCCCATGAGGTGCTTCCTTCTTGACCTTTTTTCCACCCCCGGGCCAAGCAGGGGCCACGGGTGAGGAGTGGAAGGAGGAAACCCAAAGCTCCCCGTCCTGGTGAGCCCGCCAGGCACTTGCTCACTTGTGCTGGCCTTCGTGGGCGAGGTCGGGTACACACCACGTACCGTTAGCGTTTCCGCAGCCTTGGAGTGCGCGCCCCGGGGCTGTGCCCACACACGGGTTGTTAGCTTCTGACCTGCACTTACCTGCCTCTCCCGTTATCTCCATCTGGTTCTGGGGCTTCTGCATTTCCCCAGAAGAACCCTGCCCCCCTCCCCCAACCACCACAGCCACCAGTCTGCTTCCTGTCTTGTATCTGCTGTCTGCACACCTCCCGTCCATGGCCTCTGGACCTGCCTGCCTGTCTTTCCCCAGATTTCTGAAAGGGCTGCCCGTGAGGCCTATCCCACTCTCGGACGAGCTTAAAGCTGCGCTGGACGTGGACCCCACCCCCGGCGGTGTCAAGTACATCATTGCCACCCAGGTGAGGCCCAGCAGCCCCGCTGACTGAGGGGGGCGCCTCCAGCCTTGCAGGCTCAGACCCCGCCTGCCCCCAGGCGAAGGGGCTCCCTTCAGCTGCCATCTTCCCAGTTGGCTGGGAAGCCGACTTGCCGAGAGTAGGAGCAGAAGACGCAGTGACATTACCTTTGGGTTTTCAGAGCATGTAGTACAATGTGGCTTGTCCCATTCACTCACTTACTCTGCAAGTGGATGCTTAAGGACCCCCGGCATTGTGGGGTGGTGTTCTCTGTGCTGAGGGGGCAGACTTAGGGAGACATGCAGGTGCTGGGGATCCTGGGGACCTTTATGGCTCACCGGACAGGATCAGGTCAGAATCCCTGTTTGGATGCCTGAGCCAGCATTTCATTGAGATCTGTCTGATTCTAATTCCTGTGACTTGAGCCCCCAGGCCCATGGTCTCTCCCTTCCACTTGGGACATGCTGTCTACCTCGGGTCTGGGTGATGGAAGTCAAGCGACAGGGTACCCAGTGTGGGTCAGGGTGTCATTGTGTTACCACGTGGGTTGTTAGCTTCTGACCTGCACTTACCTGCCTCTCCCTTAATCCCCATCTGACAGGTGGGACCTGGGCCTCAAATCCTGGATGACCCTCAAGCTCACCTGCTGGGCCCAGACGGCCTGCCGAAGCCAGCCGCTTGACTGCCTTCCCCGAGGGGAGCCCTGGCCACTGCTGGGAGAAGGGCCGCTTCGCTGGGACTGGGGAGCTGGGTGTGGTGGCTGGCGGGTCCATGCTTGTTGGGGTTTGAGGGCTAGCCACCGGGCTCCAGGCCGGACCACGTGCTGTGGCCGAGTTGGGTCAGTGGAGTGACTATGTGCACCACCCAGGCCATCGGGAATGCCCCCCCCACCAAGTGCCTCACCTCGCCCCAGCCTCACCCAGTGCTTTGCCGAGAAGAGAGTGGGTATGAGCGCCAGGGACCCGATTCGGGGCACTGAGCTGGATGGTGTGGAGCTGCCGGGCACCCTTCAGAGGGCCCCCTGGACTCACTCTCCGAGGCCACTCCCACAGCCCCAAACAGCAGCTCTGCCGGACATGACGGGGAGTTGGCACCCCTCCTCAGAGCCGGAGGACAGGTCACCGCTGCAGACCTCAGGGACCCCCCCCACAGAAGCTTCAAGCCTGAGATAGCCCCCATGGTCCCTCTGCCAGACTCAGGCATGCGGCACGGAAAGACCCCGGGTGTGTCTCCAGCAGGCGCGGTGGGCGAGCAGCACCAACGGAGCCTGTGGGCTGCTGGGAATAAAGGCAGCGGGGCTGACTGGGGCAGACGTGCTCTTTTGTGGTTCCGACACCAGCGCTCTGGGGCCCCTGTGCTGAGAGGCTGGGAGGGTATGGGCAGAGCACCCAAAAAAGCTGCTTTCTGTCCCCTTCGCTTGCCTGTCCACTGCTGGCCACACAGCGAGTGTTCAGCATGTGGCCATGACCGACGTTCGGCGGCTGACATGGTCACTGAGGCTCTGAGGGGTGTGAGGATGTGGTTTGGGTCTGGCTTTAGGTCCCTGTCCATGAAAGAAGGTGGGAAGTGGGTTTGCTGGTTAAGGACATGATTCCCCACAGCCCAGAAGTTTCTGGTTCCTGAAACCACAGGAATGCCACCCCTCCCCATTTCTGAAACATCAGTGTAATGCAAGGCAGGCTTCCAGGAGAAGGTGGACACCTGGGCCAAACCCCCGTCCCTCTCCCACCAGGGTCAGGGCTGTGGCCGTGGCTTTGGCCCATGGTTGGGGTTGTGGCCGTGGCCGTGGCCATGGCAGCTGCTGCTGAAGCACCTGCTGGGCTATGATCCTGACGGGGAGGGTGGAGGGAGATGACAAGGACGCACTCCTGCATTCTGGATTTCTCCAGAAGCTTGGCACATCCTGTCCTCCAGAGGAGTTAATCCTCTGAGCAGAGGGTTGCCTGCAGTTTGACCTCGCCACACCTGCCCCAGGCCAGGGCCAGATGAGGAAGTGGGGGCTGGGCTTGCCACTGTCCCTCGTGGTGAGTACTGGCGCCTTGTTCCCTTGTGGGGCATCCATTGTGTGGCCGTGGTGAAGGTTCTAGGCCTTTAAAACCTTCTAGGAACCAGCCTGCCCACACCTCTTTTGGGAGAAACCCCTGTTGCTGCCTGTGGGATCCTTGGTCTGGAAGCTGAGCGTTCTGGGGTGCCTCTGCCCACTTAGGCAGGTGCCTCCAAGTCACAGCCTGATCCCCGTGTGACCCAGCCCTCCAGGGATCGCCCTGGTCCGAATCAGCCCACGTGATGCTTGGGAAGTGGAGCAGAAATGGTGGCCTCCCTCTTCCCGTGCCCGGAAGGAGCGGGGAGGAGGAAGTGGGCCGGGCCTGGGCCCGGAGGCGGTCTGGCTGGGCCTGCAGGGGACCCCGCCATGGAGGGAGGCCTGGGGCGGACAGGCCCCCCCCACGCTCGGTCCCGGCTCTCACGGACAGCGGGGCGGGGACGGCCCCAGCGGGGTACCCACCTGCCCGGTGGGGCGGGACTTTCCGGGGGCGGGGCTGCCGCTGGGGGCGGGGCTGCCGCTGGGGGCGGGGCGGGGCGGGCGGCGGTACGGCGGGACGCAGTGTCGCAGGGATCCCGCCGAGCCGCGGTCGCCTCCGCCACCATGGGGCAGATCGAGTGGGCCATGTGGGCCAACGAGCAGGCACTGGCCTCCGGCCTGAGTGAGTGCGCGCCGAGACCTCGGGCTGCGGGCCGGGCCGGCGGGGGCGCCGAGACCTCGGGCTGCGGGCCGGGAAGTGGGGACTGAAGGCGGGGCGGGCTCGAGGTGGGGGTGGCTGCGGCCAGCCGAGTAGTCAGGGACCTTATCCTGCAGAGGGGGTTCAGAGAGCAACCCCCCGGCTCCTGCCAACCCCCCAGCTGTCCCCTCTACGCTCCCCCACCCCCGCCCGGACCTCTCCACCGAGAGAGGAAGTTGCAGCCAGGGAAGAGGCGTTTCGTCCTTGGTGGTTTCCGGGGGAGTCACTGCCCACCGGAGTTGGGTAAACCCAGCAAGTGGACGCCCGGGGCGGGGGGGGCGCTGCTGCCCGGGAGTGGGGGGGCTTTGCCCAGCGGTGGGGAGGGGCTCCCTCTCTTCCTGGGCCCTGGGTGGCAGGCGCTCTCCATGTGGGGCCCAGCCCTCAGTTGCACAGAAGGGCATCTGGGATTTCATAAGGTGGCTGGAAACCCTCAGAGTGACCCGTGTTCAGCTCTGCTCTCAAAGAGACTGCTTCTGGGGAAGGGTGGCAGGGCCCCCAGTCACCCTGCCACGCGTGCTCAAGAGCTCTGGTTAGGGAGCAGTAGGGTGTGTACCCCAGCTCAGTACTCACAAGCAGGAACCTCTCAGGACTGGGTGGGGTAAAAGGGGGCCCAGAGTCAAGAGGGGGCCCAGAGGCTCTGCCTGGCCCCCCTCCGGGGACCTGCCACTCCCAGGAAGGGCCTATGCCCAGTGGGGAATGTGCAGACAAGGGGGGCTCTTAGCCCAGCACCATTCCCCCGGGACCCCCTCTGAGGCCTCCTGCCACCTGGGGAGGGAAGGTAGACAAAGTCTCCCCAGCCCCCACTGCTGGATCACAGTTTAGAATATGGGGTCTAGCGGTGTGTTGTATGTCCAGGCAGGTCACCCTTGCTTTGGGCATCTCGAGTGGCCAAGAACTCAGTGGGTTGGTCATATGGTGCTCCTCACTGTCCCCAGGCTGTCCACTGCAGACCAGCCTCCCAGGAAGTAGAGGGTTCTGGGCCCCGGAACCCCATTCTTTGACGGTCCACTGCGTGCAGGCCAGCCGTCCTGACCTTGGCTACAGCCTGTGGTGCCTTGGGACCCACACTTCTTTCACGTCCGCTGCGCAGACAGTGAAGTCGGGGCCTGGGCTTAGCCTTCTCCATCATCAAATCAAATAAGACCGTTTGTTAGAAGGTCCCCCAGAGCCCTGCTCTGGTTCCTCCCTTGCTGACTTTTCTCCTGGGTATAAACTGCAGCCTCCAGGGATGGCTCAGGCCTGGTGAGACCCTAGCCACAGTCACACTCCACAGACTTTTCTATTGTGGGAAACCCCACCTGACCCGATCTTGGCACCTGCTGCTGAAAGCCTTCCTGGGGTTTTCCTGTACACACACCAAAAGCCAGATTCTGGCTGCTCTGGGCCCTGAGCCTCCAGCTCCCTGCCTTGCCGGGACTCGTGCCCCGGCTTCCTTTCTGTGCCCGGATTTCCTGAGCAGACCGCAGGGCCTTTGCTGAGCTGAAGCCTCTGTGGCTGGCTGACTTCTCCATTCATTTCTCAGCTCAAGATGCCACCTGCTTGGAGGTGTCTTTCCAGAGCACCAGGTGGAGAGTAGCCCCAGACATTCAGTTACCTTCCCGCTCTTCTAGTTTTTTTTTTTTTTTAAAGATTTTATTTATTTATTTGACAGAGATAGAGAGCACAAGTAGGCAGAATGGCAGGCAGAGGGAGAGGGAGAAGCAGGCTCTCTGCTGAGCAGGGAGCCGGACATGGGGCTCGATCCCAGGACACCAGGATCATGACCCGAGCTGAAGGCAGCCACTTAACCGACTGAGCCACCCGGGCGCCCCCCTTCTAGTTTTGATGTTTATTTCTGCTCCCCCTAACGAGACCATGAGCCCCACAATAGCCGAGGCCTCATCTTTCCGTGGCGCTGCTGCGTCCTGCATGTAGTAGGACTCTATCAGCGTTTGGTGGGCAGTGGACCAGTCCTCCTGCCTTCCTGGTGAGTCAGTGGTGTCTGCCCCCCTCCTGCTGAGGGTAGGCGGCAACACTGCAGCTCGGGATGGGGAAATCATGCACCAAACACAAGTGAGCTGGCTGAATGCAGGACACCGCCCTTCCCTCTTCTAGTTCGCCCAGATGCTGACCAGCCAACAAAAAAAGTTAATATGTACCAGAGCTCAGCACCACCGGTAGGAAATCTGCTAGCCGAAAAGCAGAGTGAGGTTTCAAGGTGGTGTATCTGGGCTGAAGGAAGGGGCTCAGGCTCTTACCTGGTGGGATGTGGGGGCCTCTGTGTGGAAACAGGTGAAGCTGGGCTGCATGGCTGGACCGGGCTGGGGAGGGCCACCTGCACAAGAAACAGAGTAGGAAATGGTCCCCTCCAAGGACGCGTGGGACCCGCAGCCAGGGCTGGATTGAAGAAGTCCGGGACAAGGCAAAACCATGGAAACTCAGGCCTGTGCTGTGTGTGGGGAAGGGCCTAATGTCCCCTACCCTGCGCCAGACCAAGAGATTGCCATGCACTGGGCCCAGGCCTGGAGAAACCCGAAAGCCCCCAGCAGAGGCAAACGTGAAAATTGTCTGCAAGGCCGTTTGCTCCCTGGGGCCGCAGGAAGCCGGACCCTGCCAACTGTCTGCTCCCCCCCACCCCCCAGCCGCCCCGAGGAAGCACGCCGCCTGGGGTGGACCTGCTCACACCATGACAGAGCTAGAGCGGCCGAGCCGTCTGGAAGACCTGAGAACGTGAGCACACATTGATGCCTACCTGTATGTTCCAAACTGCTCCAGGAGCGAAAGGAGCAGAGAATTATACAGCAAAACAGGACAGTGCAAAAAGGGAACTAATGCAGAACGTCAAGGAAGAAAAGTCATTAAAGGTTAATGGATGAATTGAACATGCTATAAAGACGAGAGGATTCATGGGTTGGAAGATGGGGCTCAGGGAACCTCACAGCACGCAGCCCAGACACAGAGATGGGGTTATTAAAGAGAAGCTGAGCCCTGGGCAGGGGAGGGGGGCACCCTGTGGGCAGGAGTGGAGGGGAGAAACCTGCCCCGTGGA